TATCGATTGATTAATTTTATGGCGCGTGCGAATTGATAATTGATTAATTGCTCTTCTTGTTGATTGACTATATTCTAAGCATATCTAAACTAGTTGGAAGAAAATGAATATCTTGTTGTGCATGTTGTGGTCATCAAGTATTGATGCATCTCGTCAAAAAACCTGATGGGACAAAACCTGACTATTGTGGAACCATAAATTTGCTTGTTCGCAGAGTATTTTCACTGTCGTGTCAAAGATGGACGTCTTTGTATTGATGTCGAACTTGAGCGCACGAAGAAGATCTCATATGCTTCAGCAATGCCATGATGTGTACAAGGCTAGATGTGGCTTGTGCGCTTAGCATCAATGGTATAGGTTCTAATAGAATTTCTGGAGAGGAACAATGGAAGGTCGTTAAGACTATTCTTAAGTACCCTAGACGATTTAAAGAATATTTCTTAATCTGTGGTGGGAATAACGAGTTAGGAGATACTAGGTATGTTGATGCTAGTTTTCAGTCAAATCATGATGACTTCAAGTCACAACTATTATACATATATTGTCGATAACTCCACGAGCCCGAACTTTGGGCCTCACCTTCGTCATCTCCAACTCGACATCCTCGCTGGGAAGGAGGAAGGAAGGGACGCGCAGCGCCTGAGTCCATCTTTAAAAAAAAAATAACAACATGGATCGAAAAAGATGCCACCGCTTCAGAATAAAACGCAAGAAATAAAAACATCCATAATTTCACAATCGCTCATCCAACAAGAAGTACCGGCTTATCCTTTTTGATTGTGGATTCAGCCGTCTTTAACATGTTCACTAATTCTGGCAAAGAAGTCTCCATATTATGCATGTTAAAGTTAACAACAAAGCTATCGAATGACGATGGCAGAGATTGCAGCATGAGATCCACATAGAGTTCATTATCCATAATGACTCCAAGGACGAAAGCCTTTCAACAAGAGCTATCATCTTCAGCCCATGATCATGAACTGAAGAGCCCTCAGTCATACGACACCTGAAAAGCTCTTTAGATATCTAATATCTAATTTGTCGCGTCCTATCACCATACAACTTTGTAGATGAAAGAGGATTTCAAAAGCATTATTCAACAATTCGTTCTGTCTCTGTAACTCATTTGACATTGATGCTAACATGTAGCACCGAGCTTGGAGATTGTCATCAGTATGACGTAAGCATTCTCCATACTCATCAGATGTCTGATCCTCGGGTGGAGGAGGAGGGGCTTTGTCC